CTTCAGTAGATAATTTATAATTTATAAGTTTCCTTTTCAGTGTTGCTGCCCCAGTGAGAGCCTTCAGGAAGAAGGAAAGGAACAATCCTGGATTTGGCAAATCGATGCCTTTCACTTCGAAATTAATTCCCTGGATAAAATGGCAAGAAGATAAACAGGTTCATCCAGAGCTTTGGCTAGTATATAATGCTCTCCATAATCCTGATCCCGGGTTCCCAGCCCTTGGGAGGGCACAGGGGCAGGCATTGTGTGCTGTTCTGGGTTTCACAGCCCCTAGGAGACTGAAACACAGACTCTGCTCACACTTGCAAGACCTGTCTGCAGAGCTACAGGACTGGGGCCAAGATGGCTGCCTCTCGGTGCTCCCTGCTGCACCGTGCTGCTTCCCTACCTCACCTCATTGGCGAGACTCCTGAAATGACAAGTGAAGCCACTGGCTGGCGAAAGCCTGGCTTCCAAAAACTTCAGAGTAGAGAGGGGGCTTTGTACCTCGCGTAGACCATCTTTTAAGAAAAAAATAAAACCTTCTTTTTAGGGTCATTCCTATTTTTAAGACATTTCCGTACTTCCAGGGCCTCTGCTGTCCCTCCCCCTTTGAATGGGAAGCTGAAGGGTTGAAAGAAGGGCAATCAGCAAGCTTTCTTATACCAGAACTTTAAGAATGCCCAGTACTGGTCCATGTGGAACTCAGTAGTGGGGACAGGAAGGAAAAGTGGTCCAGCAGTGAACAGTATGAGTAAGATGTGAGAAGGAAACTGATAGGCATGTGGGGAGGGGCTCCTCCAATCAAATCTCAGAAGAACTTTGTGTTCTTCTCAGAAGGTCACTTTCAGCATTCTATTATGGTTACACGTGGCATATCCTAAAATATCTGAACACATTGAAGAACCATACAAGGAGGTCATGTGAAGAGGGAAGAGAGAGACCTTGACACTACATAGAGAAAAGGAAAGGCCGCCCAAACATCATCCCAGCTGAGCCTCGCCGAGCAGGCAAAGTGGTGAGAAATAGTGAAGTGGTAGATGTGCATGAACCCCAGTGTTGGAGTCTATTGTACAACAATGGAAAATTGGAATCATTCTTTTCTTTATGAAATGTTTCTTTATGAAACAATAACACTGTAAGAAGGACCTTGAAAATGGACAAGTCTGAACATTTGTGAGAAGCTGTATCTCTGGGTATAGGTGCATGTTGAGTTCTGTGCTGATTCTTCAGAGCTAGACCTAGTGTAAGAATCAATCTTCTAAGGAAAAGCAGTCTCAGTACTATCTGCCCAGCACAGCCTTTGGTCTACCCTATGGCTATACTCTCCTCTCTGTCATCTGGAAATCCATCTCCTATTCCCTGTGAGGAAGACCAGATTGGAGGAAGAGATCATTGTTTAATGAAAAATGGAATTAAAATTTATAATCACGTAGCCAGAGTAGGAAAGACATGCCGATTTCATTTATCTTAAGAGATGGGGCTATGTTGGAAACTGGTCAGTATTCATAATTAAAATTCTATGACACAAGGCCAGAGAGATGGCTTACTGGTTAAGAGCACTGGCTGCTCTTGCAGAGGACACAGGTTTGGTTCCCAGCAACCACATGGTGGCCAACAACCACCCGTAACTCTAGTTCCAAGGATTCAACACCCTCTTCTGGCCTCCATGGGCATTGTACACATGGGTGTACTTACATGCAGACAAAATACTCATATACATACAATAAAAATAATCAAAAAAACCTTAATTCTATGGCATTTGCAAATACACTTGAAGTAGATGAAGGTGTGCTAGAGAGAAGGGGCAGTCACCATGGTCTAAGAGGAAGGGTTCCCACTTGTCCATATCCAGAGATGACCAGGTCAGGGAAGTGAATTACGTGGACCAAGTTCTCAAGAGTCCAGGCAATGATCCACCATGCCAGTTTATTCATTTGCAACGAGAATATCATTTCTAAGTCACAATGTTAGGCTCTCTCAGGTGGGAAGGAAAAGATTGCTCTAGAAAAACAGATTCCTTGAGCCAATATGATTCCATGTTTGGAAAGCTGGAAATGAGAAAGAGCAGAGACAGTGCATAGAGGAGTCATGGTGGTGTGCTGAGGAACGTTAGTGGATGGCCACACTGAGTCCCGACCTCCTTGTGCACACGTGGAATCTTCCTGTTTCTAGAATGTTCCACTTCTCATTGGGTATTGGCTTACAGGGTTGTGGGGAAATCAAGTTAGGGAGATAGCTCCCTCTCCAAAAGGATCATAGAAAGGGAATTCTTTTTTCTTGTGTGTTCATGCATGTGTGTGCATGCACATGTGTGCATGTGTGCAGCAACCAAAGGTGGATGCAGGTGTCTTTCAATCACTCTCCACCTTAGTTTTTGAGACAGTCTCTCATTGAACCCAGAACTCACTGATTGGCTAGACTGGTTAGTCAGTGAGCCTTCCGGATCTTCCTGTCACCACCTCCCCAGTGCTGAGATTATAGACCTATGCTAGTTTTTGTTTCGTTTTGTTTTTTCGATGGGTGTTAGGGAATCTAAACTCAGGTCTTCATGCTTATGTGGCAAGTAATTTAACCACCAAGCCATTTCCTCAGCCGGGAGCCCCTTCTTTTATGAAACACAAAACAACTGAAGAACTTGGAAAGTTCCTGAAAGACCATTAGCTCTCAGCCCAGCTCAGACACTTCTCTAGAATCTTCCTCCAGTAACCAATGTCCATGCCAGCTCTTTCATTGCTCTTTGAAGTCTGTGTTATAATGTTTGAGTCTATGCCAGGCTTTAAACTGTGAACTTTTTTTTTTAATTTGGTCTTTGAGACAGGGTCTCCCTGTAGCCCCAGCTTGTCTGGAACTCACTATGTAGACCAGGTTGGCCTCACTGTCACAGATATCTGCTTGCCTTTGCCATCTGAGTATTGGGATTAAAGGTGTATGCCATCATGCCTAGCTAAACTGTGCATGCTTAAGAGTTAGTTTCACATCCTACCCATCTTCTTCCAGACCAGACCCAACATAAGGACTGACATGCAGTGGTGCTCAATAAATGGACATGGCATTCACTAAGAGTCTCATGTCTTGAATCTGAAATGATAAGAACATCAAAGTTAGAATGTTACTTTACCATTTTGTCCAAATTTTAAAGTGAGGAAGGATGAGGCCACTAAATGATCTGTCCTTTTACCAGGAAACTGCAGCTCAGAGCAGGGAAAGAACTTACCAAGCCTGCTTACCTGAGCTTCCTCTGCCTGGGTAGAGGAGGCCCGCCTGCTTTCCTGTCTTTCAGGTGTCTCTTGATTTATGCCTCACCACATGGGGGGCGGGGGGTGGTGGTGGTAATGCACAGGTCTAAGGACACAGCTTACTGTGGTAGAGCACTAGGCAGGAATGTACAAGACCCCAAGTTCAATTCTCAGTACTCTAAAGACAACCAAACACTCTCTTACCCAGGGCAAATCTTGGCCAGTCAGTGAGTAGGGGAGTGGGAGAAAGGGAGTACCTTATTGTAGGTCTCAGCTCTCCAGCAGGTAAAATGGGGTGTCTGTGCTCCATCCACCCCGCCTCTTGGGGCTTTCTACACTAGTCAGGGTCAGGAGACCACCAGAGCTACACAGTTTCAAATGGCCAGAGGGAGGCACTGCAGCCACAAATGACAACATCGCCTTAATTTCTCAACATTCTTTACAAAATTATCTTAATTAGTGTACAGACCCTTTTTAAAATTTTTAAATTATTTTTATTTTATCTGTCTATGAGTATATTGCCTGCATGTGTGTAAACGCACCTGCTTTGTGCAGTGCCTGAGGAGGTCAGAAGGTGTCAGAGTCCCTGGAACTGGAGCTACAGACCATTGTTTGCCACCATGTGAGTGCTGGGAATCAAATCCCCGTCCTCTGCAAGAGCAGCCAGTGCTCTTAATCGCTGAACCATCTCTCCAGCCTCCAAGTGTGCAGACCTTTAAGCCCCGTGCTGTGCTATCATAAATACTCTTAAAATCCCGTTCAATGTGTCTCTCCTACAATTCTTCCATTGCAGACAAATGCCTGTCTCAGTCCCCTGACAGCATGGGAAATGGTTCACTGCAAATCAGTCTGCTGCTCCCTTCCTCACTCTATGTTTGCATCCTATTCGGACTTCAAGAACATAGTTATTTTAGGGTAGTTTTGCAGTGGAGCAAGAAAGAAGGTGCTCAGCTTGTCAGGGGCCAGGAGAAACACTTAGAAGGATCTAGTCTATTCAAACCCGAGTTTCTTAAACTTGGCTTCACTTTGGAACCACCCGGGGAGCTTAAGAACTACTGATGGCTAGGACATCATCCCAGTGGGTCTAATTTAATTGATCTGGGGTGCTGCTACCTGGGCAGCCTTAAAAATGAGAGGGTGCCATTTGGGATGCGGATATATAGATGAATAAGATTTGGGGGGTGTTCTGTATGAAATACACACAAAGAATTTTTAACAAAATAGTTATATTTAAAAAGAAACTTACCAGTTTATAGACTGGAAACTACAGACACGAATTCCTCCTTTTTCTTCTTACTGGAAAAGAGAGACAGTGATGAAGAGAAACGAAAGAAAGGAAATGAGAAAGGTAGGAAAGGAGAGAGGGAGTGAGGGAGAGAGAGAAAAGAAAGGGAGAAAGGAAGGAAAGAAGGAAAGAGAGAGAAAAATACTCTGAGCTCAACCCAAGGGCGTGCGCCTGGAGATCCCGCACCTGCGCCTGTCACGGACCACCAGCCGCGCAAGGTCTGGGAAAACCCGCGCGGGCGTCGACACTAAACACATTGGCGCGGCAGGGCGGGGCCAGGGAGGGGCCGGGGGCGGGGCTGAGTGGGGTCCCGCCCCTGCACGCCTATGGGCGAGCGGTGCGGGCCCTGACGTCACTCTTGTCAGGGCCTCGGCACATGGACCGGCCGATGCGCTGAGCCTGGCGCTGCGGGGCCGCGGAGATCCGGGAGCGGCGGCCTCGGCGCGGGGGGGGGGGG